ATTTTAAGTCAACTATATTGGAATTTTTTTTGCCTTTTTAAATCCTGCAGATGGGATATATTATAAAAGCACAGATAATGGAATTTAGAATATTTATTTTTCAGAGCATCACAATTTTAGTAAATGATTTCTTGTCTGTGCCAGATTCTGTCATTATCTCAACTATTACAGCTTCTGTATCTGGTAAATACGGAAATAGTTTCATAGAAAGGCAGATTTTGGGGACAAGAGTGGAACCCCTTTGAAGAAATGTGAAAGGATGTAGACAGTACTATGATAATGTGTATGTGCTGCTACAAATAGAACCCAGAGCCTTCGGTTCACTAGGCAAGTACCCTACCACTGAGCTATATCTCCAACCTGGATAAATAGTTCTTCATTCAATTTTGGAGTACCCCATTTATTTTCTCTGTTGTTTCAATCAAAAATTTTTAAATGAGAACAGTTAAAACACACATGTATATAATTTTGGTCCAGGACATCAACATTCTGTTCATTGTTAAGAATATTCTTAGTAATTCACATCTGTTATTTTTTTCATTTGCATTCACAACTGAAAATTTAATAAATCCCACAAAAAGCAATTTACTCATTTTGAGGAAAATATTAAGCAGAGTAAGCACACCTTAACAGACTGTTCCCCATCCTTTGGGTGCTGGCGATTGAAGCCAGAACCTCACATGTGCTAGGCAAGTGGTCCACCACTGAGCCTCATCTCCAAGCAAAGCACACTTTAAATATGCTGATTTCATAAAGATAAGAGTTCTTACTTTGGAATTGAAATAATTTATTAGGTAGTTACAGAAGTAGTAGTAGTAGTATTTTTTGGTAGAAGTTAAACTACTTGAACTATGCATAACTATTTGTTGAGAAAGGTGATATTGAGCCCCAGATGGTGGCACACATTGATAATCTCAACACTCTGGGAGGCTGAGGCAGGAGGATGATGAGTAGGCTGACCCTAGCCTAGTAGGTTCAGCAACTTTGTGACTTAGCAACACCCTGTTTCAAAATCAAAGGGCTGGGGCTGTTGTTTAGATGCAAAGGCCCTGGGTTCAACACATGTTATAATTCAGAACCATGAGTAACTTAAACTGACAGTCCATGCATTTTATCTGGTTGGTTCTCTATAGAGAACTAAAATAACATGATATTTGTGGAAAACAAATTGAATTCTTTCCTCATTTCTCAATTCTGACTTAAACTTGTTCGGTGTATTGCAGCTACGTATATCAGCCCTTGACTTATTTTCTCCAGAATTCATATATGAGTAGGTGTAGGGTTAATTGTACAGTCCGTGGTCTTTTGTCTACTGTTCCCTCAATAGGTATCTCAAGTTGCTAGTGTTACAATCCCGAATACTTTGCTGAACAGGCTACTTGTTCGTACAGGAGCTACATTGTTGTATAGCCTCATTCCTTCCGATGGGTGTGGATCAGGATTAAAGCTCACTTTATAGGGGTTCTAATTGTAGATGCCTAATTGACTTGATGAATAGCAAATGTTAAAATTGAGACACACACATGCACTGACACACATAAACCTGTTTCAGGGCTGATCTACATGACAGAACAAATGCCTCACAGGTGTTGAATACTTACAAGATAAAAGAGTCTTTCCATATTTCCCAAGAATTTTCTTTTTGAAGTTTATATGGATTTTCTATCTCATTGTTTCTTTGCTTAAAATGATTCATGGCAGGACTCCATTTCATCTTTGGCTACACTTTTCACTTAGAAAGGCAGACCTGAGTTTTAGAAGTCAGCCAAAACTAAAAACAAGAATATCTGTCCACAAGTATATTTTTCCACATTTTGGGAAAGGAAGAAGAGAGACAAACTGCTGACTGTGGCCTTTCAGCCTAGCAGGGTCACAAATTCTCTTCCTCGTCCTCCTCATTCTTTTTTGATACCTTTCTCAATTTTACAGGAATGATTTTATGCTTTACTGAGTACCTTGGAAGTCTTAGGAGTTTAACATCACTATCTAAAAAAGAAGGAAGTGTCTAGGAATTTGTCAAATGAAAAACATTTTTAAAATAGATCACATTAGCTTTTACTCAACATTTTATAAAGATAAGTTACCCTTTGTTGTTATGTATTATATTTTAACTATTTTCCAAATCTCTCACAAATAACACTTATTTACTTAAATTTTAGGGTATAGAGTTGAGAATAAAATGTGTCATACCAGTTGTACATTTCCTAGAGATGAAATTCAAGAGATAAGGCACAAGTGTAAAGTGCTTGAAAATTGCCCCAGGGCCGTTTGTTTTTCTACAGCATCTGGATTTCCTGGCATTGAATTATTATCCCTTGGGCAGTATGCAGAGATGACCTCTTCATGCAGTATCTGAGTAATTGTGAGGAAATGTGTAGGGGTTTTTTTTTAAATTCTTTTTTGTGCACTGCACCTGCCTGGCAAGCGCAAGGTCCTGAGTTTAATCCCCGGTACAAAAAAAAAAAATTCTTATTTGTCTAAATTACGTTATCCAAAAGATTGTACTAAATTAAATAGATAATATGAAAAATCTAGTTACTGGAAATGATAAATATATTAATATTTATAAATATGATATGGAAAGCTTTTCTAAATGTATAACTCACTAGATCCATAAACTATTAAAGGCAAATAATAAATCTGATTTTTCAGAAATTATTCAGCTAATAACTACTTGTTGGGGACTAATACTGCCCAAATAAAAGAAATTCTTGAGTAGATATAGAACTTTACATTTTTATAAGCAACTTATTTTGAGAAGTTGTTAAAATATCTATAGTTGGGGAAATTGTAGAATAGTAAAAGCACTGGTTTAAGAATTAAAAAGTAAAACACTGTTTTTATCTTAATCGTCTTGCAGAAAATAAGGAACAGAAATGTATGTATTCAATTTGAAAAATCCAACTAGTAGCCAACTTTTGATGTGATTCTTTTTAGTTTGTTAGTGCATATGTTTTTGAAGTATTAATCAGATTGTCCAGGTTGTATAATACATTTATATTTCTGTTTGCTGTTGCTCAATAGATAAAATTAGATACTGATAACAACTTTTGACATAATGCTAAATTGCATTCCAAAGAATTGTACAATTTCAAATATATCCAGTATAGAAGTATAGCTTTATGATACTTTTATGAATATTGGTTATTATAATTTTTACAATTCCTCAAGTGATTGTTTTGATTTGCATTTAAATTTAATTGCTGGTTGAAATGGGTGTATTTTAGTGTTTGTTTATTGACTGTTTTCCTTATTTTGTTCCTAGGAAAATTAGAAATGCCACACTACTTTATCCATATCCAGTGCCCATATCCATTTCAGTGCCCATCAGGCTGCTTTCTTTCCAGTAACTACCTGAGTCCCATAGGAAATGGTCATCTCTTTTGTTCTGTTAGACTTAATTAAAATAAAAAATAAGCAACAAATGTCTTGAGATAAAAATGCTACACTGCCCTTTGTTAATTACAATGAACTCTTGACTTATGAACTCAATTTGTTCACAAGGCTGGTTATAACTCAAATTGGTTGTAAGTCAAGACTATTTTTCCCATAATAATGGAAATACCCATAATGCATTCTGAATCTCCCAAAGCACCCCTTAACTAACCTTTTCATAATAAAAAGAGAGTGTATAATGTGCATAATTTACTAGAAACACCAATAATTTTCCTAGTGTAGTCACCAAAAAGTTATAAAATGTGCCTAGGTTACCAGAAGCAAAAATTTCATACTGTACTCACCATTCAAATTGATATCTTTGGCTTGCAAGAAGAGAGAATGAAATGGAAGGTGGTTATTGTTTGGAAGCAGAGTCCCCTTCCATAAGAACATCAGGAATCTGGCTCCCTGGTGTCCCTTCTTCTCCTTGGGAGAGTATGTAACCCACTAGGACCTACTTCTGGCTCACTAGGTCTCAACCTTTTCAGAACAAAAAACTAGTCTAAGGTTGTCTGTTTCTGTCTTTTCTTTAACACCATTCTACAGTATGACATTGTCATTAAGCAAGTGAATGCAACGATTGACTTTTTCTCTGTCTAGGTGGATCTTCTCTACAAATGTTTGTAGCTCTGTCCATTTTTTCAGAAATTCCTTTATTTCAGAAGAGCAACTTTGCCGCACTGATTGTTGATTACTCCCCCTCCTCTTGAGAAAGCTCCTCAGCTGCCATTCTCTGTTGCTCAGCCAGAAGTTGCTGAAGTTCCTGTGTAGGCAATTCCTGAGTGCTCTTCCACCTCCTCAACATCACCACTGTCTACCTGCAAGCCTGTGGACTCTGCTATAGTGACAGTGTCATCAACCACAGGGTCAACTGAAGGCTCAGGCTTCTCTACACAGCCGTGAAAGTCTCTGTCCTCTAAAATTTTAGGCCATACTTTCTTCCAGGCAGATCTCAGTGTCCTTAGAGAGACATTGGCCCAGGATTTCTCAGCTCCACACAGGAAAGAATGGCATTTAACTTGTAACTCAAGACTTTGGTCGGAAATCAAAACTAAAATTCCAGTCGTAACCCAAGTTGTTGATATGTGAGGTCAGTAGTAACTCAAGGGTTCACTGTACTTTCCTGTAAGCAGTTTGCTTCTAATCCAGGATTTCTTGCTACGTTTAATCCTGAAACATTTGAGCTTACATAAGCACTCTTATTGGTAGCATTTTGTAGGCTGTGTCAGGACATAGGTCTTCATTTATAGCGAACTTTTAATTATATGTTTGCCCTTGCTGTTAGAAAGGAAATAACTCACCTTAGGTGGGGAAATTTTCATTCTACTTGCCTGTCATATATAGACTAAATGCATTAATGTTGCTTGTATACTTTTGTGACCTCAGGGTAAAAGTAAGGGGAATATACTCTGGTTCATTGGGACCTGGTTCATTATTCAGAGGCCAGACTGAAGTGACTTAATAGTGTAGCATATGACTCATAAAGGAATTTAGATAACTGCCTCAGAAATAGTAAAATGTGTAAATAAAACATTCTGGGTATTTTTCTTTTTACCTTTCAGGTTTACAAGTAAAAATATCCAAACTGAAAAAGGAACGCATTTTGTAAGTATCAGTACAGTATGTAGCACTGATGTAGTATTTATAAAGTAATTGGTACCATTATTCTGTTTGATCTCAGTATCTTATTTGAAAAGAAATTAGCTTACTTAACCCCCTTATTTAAAAGGAAATTAGCTTGCTTAAACAATTGACAGTGATTTTTTTTATAGTTCTAAAGTAAAAAGAACAACTTTATGATTTTAAGTATAACCCTAGTTAACATATGCATGTGTAAATTTAACATCTTTTTTTCATAGAATATTTGTTAAGATGAGAACTGTTCTACATACTCATTTTGATCTATCAGCAGCATTCTTTTTTCAGCTGTATTAACACCTGCAATTCAAAGTGCTGCAAGATTGGGAACAGAATCATTCTGGGCTTTCTAAACTCATATAAGAAATGGAAGCTAAGTAGATACCTGGAGACCCCTTATTAGTAGTTTGGAACTTCCAAAGGACTCCTGAATTGTTTTGGCTATTAAATCCTGAATTAGCTGATTTTCTAAGTTAGGAGCAGATTTTACTCATGGTTCTTTAGCAACGCCATGTTCAGGAATGTGAAACAGATGATAGTATATTATCAGTACATAATCAGTACATATAAAATGAGTTTACATTTGCTTTATATTATATACCTGTAGACCTCCCTTACTTCATGTTCTTAACACTTCCAAGGCTGTAACTGAAAGCTAGAGTTACTAATCATGAGTACATATCCAGTTGTTTATTATAATATGAATGAAAAATGGGATTTTTTTCACACTGTAGTCATATTTGTAAGTGGACACAGATTCAGAAATATAAAATTTAAAATTTTAATAAATTTTGTTTAAAAGAACTGTTTATTCTTTTTTTTTTGGTTCTGGGGATCCAACTTGGAACCTTGTGCTTGCGAGGTAGGTGGTGGAACCACTGAGCTAAATCCCCGGCCCCTGTTTATTCTTAATTAGTAATCTTAGTAACATTGGAATGTTTTACATTGTTGAAATTGCACATGTTCCTATTTAAAAGATGTCATTTTAAACCTCCTTAACAGTTATTGTGATAGAGCTCAGTGTAGTTCTCACAACTGAGAGGTATTTCTTTACCTACAAAGGAAATTAAAAGGCTTTCCTCAGTAAATTTAGGGTACGTATCTTCTTAGGTCAATATTTTATTTTCGCAAAAACAAGCAGAATTGACTTTACAGTAAGGAAATTATATCCTCCAACTTAGAAGGTCTCAAAAAGACATTCTAGCACTGCTTACCCAGTGACTCAAAATCATTGGAGCCTCAGGTTATTTCTTTTTTCTCCACCATTATTAATGTTGGAAAAATTTCCCTCTTAATCTTGGCAAAATGGCAAAATGACCATCATCATTCTAATCACTACTTGTTGAAAATCTTTATGTCCCTTTTACTAGTTACAGAAATTTGCCAGAGCAGACCCCAGCAGACTTCCTCCAACTTGTTGACCATAATTGTGTGGTCATTCCTAAACAGTAACTGGAAAGGAATTGAATTAGTATGCTTGGTTCAGACTAATAGACTTTGAGAGTAATTTTTGTATATTCTGGGATGAAGTAAATAAGTAAATATATTGTTGATAATGAGTGCTAGAATTCTTATTATCAGGAGAATGAAGTTAACAGCATGGAAAAGTGTAAACCCTGTCTTGCTTGATAGGAGTTGGGAGTTATCAGGGTGCACTCATGGTTTTTAATATATAAATAGAGATAGAGAAATAGATACAGGTATTTGTGAATGTGTGCGAGGACATATGCATTTCCTAGGCTTGACCCATTGACAGGCCCTAGAAGCAATGACACCTCAGTAGTAGTGAGCACACCTTAACCTCAGATATTGATTTCTAAACAGTATTCTCCAGTGAAAGGAATCTGTTCTTGGAGAGAGAACTAATCTTATGGAGGAGTGGAGAACACAAGATGAGGTGGAATATCTTAGGTGCCAGAAAACAAGCTCATGTTCAAAAGGCAGCATGTAGAAGGCAAATTGAAAAAATTTCCTAATGGCAAAATCTATAATAACTAGGCCAAGAAATAATGATGGTAATGAATTAACACTTCTTATAGAATAAAGGCACAGCTCTTCTTTAGAGAAATTCCATTTAGTAAATGTAGAAAGAATGATCTAGAAACGCACCATTTGACAAACATGATAGCAGTAACTGTTGACAAGAATCACCAATGGAGGCTAAAATAAGCAGATGACAGTGTGGTAAGAAATAATATTCCACAGATACTTATTAATTACCAAGGGAAGAATTGTACCATTACCACTGAGAAACCTGGCTGACTCTACCTCAATCAAATGGTCAAAGTTAACTTCACTAGTAATGAGATAAATCTATCTCATGTACTTTTGATGTAATGCAATAAGAAGGGCACATCATTTCTATTATATTCTTAGTGAAAATACATAGCCTGAATCTTATAATGCAGAAACAGCGGACAAACCCAAATTGAAGAATTGTCAACAAATCGAAGGATTGGCCAGATAGATGTCAAAGGTGTCAAGGTTGTGAAAGGCAGAAAAGGATGAAGAAACTGTCTAGATTTGAGAAAACGTGACAGTGAAATGAAATGTACAATCCTAGACCAGAGAATGGAAACACAACTGGTTATTCAATAGCTGATCATAGTGCCTTAGATCATTGTGTAGTTTATCTTCTTAGCTAACTTTTAATGTATATGATAATTAATCTATACCTGTGTACTTTAGGTAGTTGGGGTTACACATTTTGGAAGCACAGATGAGTAGGTAAATCCCTCAGTAATCAGAATTAAAGGTATGCTTTATTATACCTTCTGTAGAGTAAGTTAGGTTTTTGCTCATGGAACTAGGAACTAGGGTTTACCTTCTTGTGTCCATTATTACAAACTGAAATGATTGTCTTAATGATCAATTAGTGAATCTGATAATGTTATTTATTAGCTATTTTTTTTTTGAAAACATGTTATTTTTCACTGAGGAAATAATGACATCTACCATATTCATCCATTAGGCATTTTTCTAAGAAAATTACCTTTCTAGCTACTGAGAAATAAACTACTCGCCTATAAATAATTCTTTATTTTCTTTTTAAGTATTTTTTAAATTAAAGAATTTTTTTTAAATGTTTAAAAATCCTGCAATTGTGCAGGACTTTTCATACTTTTGAATTCCTTATCAGAAATAGAATATTCTACATAATTGGAACATAGATAATGTGAGTAGAGATATCTGTTGATATTAACAAATGTCTGTATTAACAAATAGAAATTGGTTAGTGTATTTTGATAGTCATTTTGACAGGCCAAGTCAGACTCCACTCCTCCCTCTGTGCTCCAGCATTGGTTGGTGAATGGTACTTCAGGAAACATTCCTATAGCACATAAAAATACTGGAGAACAAATTCTAGTGTGATTTTAACTCTGATGAACAAGATTTTCAAACCTCACCTTTTAAAGGTGTTTTGTTTTTATATAAAAAGTTCATGATAATGTGTAAGTAGTAAGACCAAACTTTGGATTTGTAATAAATTTTTTGTAGCGTATTTTCCCTTGAAAACACATTTCTTTCTTGACTTGTAGAGATGCACAAAGACTGGAAGAGTTCTTTACCAAAAATCAACAACTGAGAGAGCAACAGAAAGTCCTTCAAGAAACCATTAAAATTTTAGAAGATCGGTGAGTCTCATACTTGAGTAAGAGAGGATTTTACCCCTTAACAGAAAGTACAGAACATTGGTTTTAATTTGTAATCAGTTGGATTGAAAGTGATTAACATACTCAGTGCTATAAATTCAAGTGATCAACATAATGTCACTTCTTTTAAAGAACTTATAACGTACTAGAGAAAGACAAGCAATAAAATGTAATTAAAACAAAATATGATTCACACTGTGACGGTAGATGCAGGTTACTATCTAAGCACAAAGCAACTTAACCTAGTCTCAGAAGTTAGAGAAGGTCTCCTGAAAAATATTATGTTAAAATTCAAATGTATGCCTAAGAAGAGATAGCAAGACAAAAGAGAACACCTAGAGCACTATTTATAAAATTAAGACAACATACAGACAAATATCATGAAACAAGAAACCATGTGGGTTAATGAAGGTATCAGATTTAATCTAATTGTCTATTAACTATGATCCTGGGTTGATTCTCAATTCTTTGGCGGCTCAGTTTCCTTACATGAAAAATTGCTCTATCACCTACCATATAGTGTTTATATGAAAATTAAGTGCTAGAGGCCTAGGTACAGAGTGAACTTCCAATATCAGCTCCCACATTAAAAAGAACTATGACCTTGGATTTAATTAAATTAAGGTTCATGAAACAATGGATAAATTTCAAGGGCCCCAGAAGGAAATCTTGGACTTGTATTGAACAAAATGTGAGAAAAAGCATATGTATAAAAATATACCTCTACTCCCTACTACCAAATTAATACCATGTCATGAATTTTATACCCACCCATTGAAGAATATAAAGTTTAATAGAAAGGCAAGAGAACATTTGGGAGGAGAAACAACTATGAATAATGGTATTTACATGAAATTAATGACCAGAAAATAGATTTTATAAAGAGTATATTGTGTTTGTAGAAAGTCTGTCAAATAAAAACAAATTTAAGGATTTCTTTTTGGAGACTAGCAAACAAATTGAACATACTTGTTAGTCTGATAAATTCTAATACATCCATTTAAAATTAAGCCAGGATCAGCAAGCAATCAAGAGTTGAACTCTTTCACAGATGTTATTAAGAGTGGCAGTTGACAAGAAAAACTAAAAGAAATAAGCAAGATATTATTGCTTCATTTTATAATTGTAACCAATGGCATTTTAAACCTCCCTCTCTAATAATTGAAGCTATCATTTTAGTTCTATTTTACCTTTGAACCTTAATACATATATTTAGATCATTGTTTTATTTGCTTTTTAGTTCCTTTTTTTTGATTAGTATATTTTTGCAATACATAGTTACATTCATCTTGGGGAATAGTACACACACATGTCACATCTTAACTTGATCTTAGCCAAAAGACTAAGAAGTGATGGCAGCTCTGTTTCGGTGTTTGTTGTTGTTTTTGCTACCGGGGATCGAACTCGGGACCTTGGGCTTGCGAGGCAGACAGCAGAACCATTGAGCTAAATCCTCGGCCCACATGTCATATCTTAATCCTTGTTACTTTTCCTTTCCCTCCCCATCACAACTCCCTCCACTGCCAGGTCTGTGTTTTATATCCCTTCATCTCTGGAACGCCTCCCTTCCCTTACCACTATATCACAGGAACACGTTGGTGTTGTGCCTGCCTTAACCCTTCTTTCTGTGCATCACTTTTCCTCACTTCCTACTCTCTCCCTTTACAATAGAACCTGTAGAATAGAAGTGTTGTTGAGGCTGATAGTTACATCCTTCTGTCAGATTTTAGTCTTTTGTTCTTGGTTTATATAAGTTGATTATAGAATTTAGAAAATAGTAAACTGTATTTGATTATTTATTGGCTATATAAATATTCACTACAGAGTTTGGATTACATTTCCTTCTCTACCTGTCTGCTGTCATCACCTCTGGCCACACAAAGAGAGTATTTTTAATTTCCAAGTCAAATGAGTTTTTTTTCTCCTCTATCCCCAGTCAGCTCCTCCAAATCAGCCCACAATTATATTACAACAGTGACTTATATGTAAATTTTCATTTTTCTCAGTATTTCTAGCTACCTTTTCTCAGATTGAGACAAGAACTGTGTTTTCCTATCCATGTCATTAATATTTAATGTCTATTATTCTACTCATTGTTTTGTTGTAGTTCTTTTTATTTATTTTATTTGTTTATTGTTACTGAGGATTGAACCTAGGTCCTTTGCACTGAACTACGTTTCTAGCACATATTCGGTTTCTCACAACAATATATATATTTGGGGAGGGGGGTTGTTTTTTGATACAGTGTCTCAGTCACCATAGGCTGGGCTCAAATTTGGGATTATCCTTCCTCAGTCTTCCATAGTGCTGGAACCACAGTTGTGCAACAGTGTGCCAGTTTGTAGTTTTTTCTTGAGGGTAAAACTTCTTGTATTGAGAAAACTTCCTAGATCATTCATTTCTAGGCTACTGTATAGCTGCAATGCTGGATTTCTCTTCTTTGGATCTCTGCATTAATTCCATTATTTCATTAATCTCATCTTAGACAATCAACAAATATTCATGGAATAACTACTTTGTATCAGGCACCAATTTAGACCTTAGGGGTATACTAGTGAACATGGTTAATAAAAATGTAGGCCTGTTTTTCCTTTGTGTTGATTTTCATTTTAAGCTGTTAACAGAGCTTTCTATTGGTAAGCTCATTTTATTGAAACTTACCCTCAAGTATCTACTGAAAAAGAATGCACAGGAAGTAAATTTTCAGAGTTCTTACATTTCCGAAATGTTTATTTTACTGTAACATATAGTTGATATTTTGACTGGATAAAAATACCTAGGTTCAAAATAGTTTTCCATCAAAACTTTTTCTCATCGTTAACATTCCAATGCTAAATAAGCAGTCTGATGTCCTTCTAATGTTCTTTCCTTTGTAGGTAATAGATTTTGGGAGTTTTGTGGGGTTTTTGATAAATGTTATTTTATCCCTTTCTCCCCTTCAAGTCCCCTCCCCTCCCTATGTACAAAAGCTTTGTTTCCATTTTTTCCTTCTAGTTTCACTTTTTTTCTTGTCCCTTCCTTCCTCCCTCTTCCCTTGTATCCCTTCCCATTTGAACACTTTCTTCCCATTTCCCAACATCCGTTATACATTTAAGTCCTGATTTCTATTTTCAGTTTCTTACAACAGAGAAACAATGTGGTATTTAAACATGTGTGTCCGATTTGATTTCGTAGTTTAACAACTTCCAGTCCTTGTTCTGAACTTTCATAATGTACTCTGTGTATGCGTTTGTTTGTGTTTCCTTCATTGTGCTGGACACATATTCTGTTAACTTGAAGATCACTATCTGTTACTTTCTGTATCTTGTTTTTTCTTCCATGTGGCAAATTTTCTTCTATTTTATCCCCAGCTTATTGAAATTATTTTGATAATCACATGTTTAGTACTTTAGAACTTTATCCTAGACCTGGTGTTTCACGCCTATAATTCCAGCACTCTGGGAGGCTGAGGCCAACTCCGAGCCCGTCCTGGGCCACTTAGTAAATTAGCAAGACCTTCTCTCAAAAAAAAAGGAAAAAATACTGGGGATATAGCTCAGTGATCAGGCCCTGGGTTCAATCCCTAGTGCCTCCATACAGAGGGTTTTTTTTTTTTTTTTTAAAAAAGCACTATATATGTAATAATCAGCCAGTAAAAGAAAAAATGACAAGAGGCTGGGGATTTAGCTCAGTGGTTCTGCCACCTGCCTTGCAAGCGCAAGGACCCGAGTTCAATCCCTGGTACCAAAAAAGAAGAAATAATAAAAAAGGAAAATCTTGAATGTATAGCTAGAGGAAAAACATCAATAAGAGATGCCTGTGTTAACCTTATTGTTAATGCTTTTCTTAGATGTGAGTTTAAGTCAAAATTAAAAGCCAAGTTCAGGTAGGACAGAGGTAGGGGGGTGGGCAGTGCAGAGGAGATAGAAGATAAGCATGTTGTGAGTGCTGTGATGAAAGTTTTATTACAAGCCATGGAGAGTTTCATAGAATCAAGGCCTTTGCATACACTGTTGTGAGTGGTTGGGCACGTGTGGATAATGTTTTCAATCCTCAGAAATTTTCTGTAATATTTAAAGACATCATTAAATAGATTCTAGAAGAGGGGAATATAATCCATCATAACAGATTTTCACTGTTGACAACAACTGCTTACAAATAAAATGTAGAAAGAACATAGCACGGAGGTGGTGAGGTTCCTTGTTCTAAAGCTTGGATGTATCTGGAGAGGAACTTCTGAGCAGATTACTCAGGCTCCATCCCTGCAGATTCTAATTCAGTTGGTTGTGAGTGGGACTTACAAATAATTTTCCTTTCATTTTAATTAAGTAATTACTTAATTTGACTTTTTTGAGACCAGGTTGACCTTGAACTCACTAGGTAGCCCAAGATGGTCTCAAACTCTGATCCTCCTGTCTCAGCCTTCTAAGTCCTGGGATCATAGGTATGTACCACTATGCCTGGCCCTCCCTTCCCTTTAAAGCTGCCCAGATGGCTTTGAAAAATAGCCAGGTTTGGGGACTGTTGATCTGATTATTCAGTATGTGTTTGAATACCTTCCAGTTTATCAGTGATCATCTTTTTTATTTTATGGTTATGTCCAGTGACTACTTACTTAACATTCCATTGTTAAATAGTTGAAACATTGTTTTGTTTTGTTTTGTTTGTTTGTTTCTTGGTACCTAGGATCAAATTCAAGAACTTGCGCTTGCAAGGCAGGTGCTTTTTGACCTAAATTTTTGGCCCTGATACTATAAATTTCTTTCACATGATTGACTTTTTAGATATTTGAAGTTACCAAGTACCCTGGTTACCTTTTCTATTATCCTTGTTGCCTTCAGTCATTTTTATTTAAAGTTGGACAAGCTCACAGTTTCAAAGTTAAGATGAAAGGACAAACCAATTGTTCCCTTCACCAGTTCCCCTTTCTGCATAAGCAGTCACTTTGTACTTTGTATAGTATCTCACTCTTTACCTCAAGAGCTTTTTAAATTATTTTTTCTTAGCCATGTTGCCTAGGCTGAACTCAAACTTGTATATTTCAACTCCAGTCTCCTGAGTAGCTAGGTCAAGATATCTTTTTAAAGATGTGTTATATACATATACCAGTTGCACACAAGGAATGTAAACAGTATGTACTAATAAAAAAATTGCTACTTATAATTTTTTCTTGGCTCAAGTGGGGTTTTTTTTTCCTCCGTCTTTTTCTTATACTCTATACAGACTCCTTTTCCAGTTCCCTCTTTCTTCTAATTAGTTTATAATAATTTTGATCAGATCACTATTCATAGTTTCCTGTATTTTGGAGGATTACCTCTTCTGTCAGGTTTCTGAGACATCAAACCAGTGTAGAAAATGAAAAAATTTAAAAAAAGAAAAACTTTCTATTATATTAAAGTAGATACAGCAGTATAACTAACTCCAATATAACCATCACCTAGCTTCAGCAGCCAATGCAGCCAATCTTGATTCACCTATATTCTCACCAATCTCTTAATTTTGAAGTGCATGCTCATCAGATCCTTCCATTTAATATTTCAATATGCATCTCTAACATTGAGATTCAGATATGTGTATATAATGTATATTTTTTTTTAATTAAGAAATCTTGAGGGGCCAGGGATTTAGCTCAGCAGCACCATACCTGCCTCCCAAGCGCAAGGTCCTGAGTTCCATCCCCGGTACCAAAAAAAAAGAAATTTTGAGATTTTTGTGTGTTTGAAAGTTCTTTCCTGAATTGATAGTTTGAGAATATTAAAGTTAGTTTAGATTAATTTTCTTTCAGAATCCTGAGTTGCATTTTTTTAGCTTTCAAGTTGCTCTTCAAATTCTGCACTATTCTTTTTTTTTTTTTTTTTTTTTTGGACCTGGGGATCAAACTCTGGACCTTATGCTTGGGAGGCAGGTGGCGGAACCACTGAGCTAGATCCCCAGCCTTGCACTATTATCATTTTTGACCCATTCAATGAAATTTTTAAAATTTTATTTTTCTTCTGAAAGCTTTGAGATCTTTATTCCTAGCACTTAGAAATTTCATGATGATAATTCTTTTGTATGGAACTGTTAATAACCATTGTGTCAAAGACTTGGGTTTTGTTTTTATTTTTTTCAACTAGGCAGTTGTGTTGAATTTCTTCATTATTTGCCAATTCTCTTTTTCTGGAACTCTTATTATATCTAGTATGATCAGCCTTCTTAGATAATCCCCTAGTTCTCCTGTATTTGTATTTTTACACTGCTTCTTGTGGACATGTTCTCAACTTTATGGTCTCACCCTCTGTATAGAGTTTTTTGTTTTTACTGTTAATATTGTTAATTTCTAAAATCTTTTCTGTTCTAGAATATTTCCTTTTATAACAATCATGTTTCTATTTCATAGTTTTGATATCTCTTATTCTCTAGAGTATTTATAGGTTCCACCCTCCCTCCCCCCTTAGCTTATCTTCTAAATTTCTTTCTTTTTCCTTTCTTAGTGACTTGTTTGTTTTGGTCTCTCACTGTCTTAAACTCTTCTCAGATGTTTGTTGACACCTGTTTACTTAAAGAGAAGGAGATAAAAATTGATTTGGGGGCTCTGAGTACATGGATGGAGTTGTGAATTTCAAGCTTCATGACAGAGGTTTGCTGGTCTGCTTGATTGATGATGCCCTGATGTTATCAGTATCTTTACATCTGTCTCTTGGGCTGGTCAGATTTCCTAGAGAATATTCCTCGTCTTTCCTTCCTGCTGTAATAGGGCAGGCTACCAGAGTTCCAGGAATTAAGCAGATGATAGAGGCTTAGGCTAGGTCTGAGACTTTGGCTCCATATGTATTCATTACTCTCCTCCTCGTGTCGCCCACACCAGACACTTAAACTCTAGCCTGCATTCTGTTGTCAGGATGTTGAAGAGGTAATCAGTCTCCCAGCTGCTCAGAATGTATGTTGCTGTTGTAATTTCTTAAAACGTGGTTTAAATCAGTCTCTCTTGGTACTGGCCCTTTTGTAAATTTTATTTTGAGACAGGATCTTGCTAAGTTGCCCAGACTAGCTTACAGCTTGGGATCCTCCTGCCTTAGGCTCCTGAGTATTTGAGATTATAGGCAATTGACACCACACCCAACTTCTAATCTTTTGTTTATTACATCCATATCAGTATTGTTGATAGGAGTTTTACTTCATATGAAAAGGTCTAGGCTTTCTTTTAGTTGTATCATATTCTCTTAAAATTTGTGACGTGCACTACCATGCTGTGACTTCCATAGACACCGGAATACTTAATATCCTGTTGATTTAGGTTATTGAGTTGAAGTTATTTTAAAATGTATTTCCTGGGCCAGGGATTTAGCTCAGTTGTTCTGGCACCTGCCTCGCAAGTGCAAGGTCCCAAGTTCGATTCCCAGTACCAAAAAAATATATATATATTTTTTTTTTTTCCTGAATTCCTATTGTGAGATGCATGTCTTCTTTTTAACCATAGTTTTCTGAAATTGGAGAAATTTTGAAAAATATGGAAAAAACACTAAGAAGAAAATATACTGTCATCTACAAAATAACTATTAACATTTTAGAATATCTTTTCCCTACATCCCTGTGACACCTCTGAAATACACATATTTTCCTCGTTAGTACTCTCAAATAATTAGTCAAAGCTATTTCATAATCATTTTTGATATAATAATATGTTGTGGATTTTTACTAATATTGGTTGTTTTGTATGCTGAAAGGAAAATCTGAGGTGACTTTTTCCTGTTTTCTTTGACTTTCACTATTTTTCAGAAAAAAAGTACTGAATATCCACTATGTTTATACAGTATACATGGCAAAGAAGATGCAGAGTTGCTTAAGACATAATTTGACCCCTTAGTGCTGGATAGGATTTATATTTTGTGTGTAATACATAAAATCAAGGTTAATTTCTTCAGTAAAAAAACTTTCTTTGGATAGTTTTAGATTGGCAGTTTTATAGAATTGCAGTTTGTAGAAAATGCTTTGTGCCATGATTTAAATGTATATATGACTATGTTAAGGGTCTAAGACATCATTAAACTAGTTGATTTTCACTGTATTTGCCAAATCAATTCTTTAGCTCTGCATAAAGTATAAAAATCTTAAAATGGGGCCAGGGATTTAGCTCAGTGGTTTCACCACCTGCTGCGCAAGCACAAGGACCCAAGTTCGATCCCCAGTACCAAAAAAAAAAATCTTGCAATGCACAAACAGTATAATTGTCCCTTGTTAAAAAATTCAAAACTTAAAATGCTTAGAAATCCCAAATTTTTTTAGCATCGTGTCAGTACTCCAAAAATTTCAAATTTATGGGCATTTCAAATTTTATATTTTGGGATTAGTGCTCTGCATCTGCTAATATCTATATAAATATATAAGACACTCAACCTAAAACACCTGTGAAGGAAAGATTTCAAATAGGGAATACTCAACCTGTATAAGGAAATATCTTTTAGTACATGAAAAATGTTTTGTTTTTGTTTCACAGATTACGAGCAGGATTATGTGATCGCTGTGCAGTAACTGAAGAACATATGCGGAAAAAGCAGCAAGAGTTTGAAAATATCCGACAGCAGAATCTTAAGCTTATTACAGAGCTTAGTGAGTTTACTTTCTTCATGTGATATTTAAAGTAAAATGTACTATTTTCACAACCTATTAGTAAATTGATTGTAATCAGATTGTTTACATGTATTTTTTGTTATTTAGGTAAAAGGTCATATATCTTTTCCCCCCCTTTTTTGAAACTTAATCTCATGCTTATTTTAGTAAGAAATAAATTCTAAAAAGGTTGTATAAATAACTGTTTACAGTGCCCTAAAACTATTACTAGATCTAAGACAAGAAGCAAATTCCTGGGCGTGTCTATATTTGCTTCTTTGGTTTTATTTTTATGTAATTTGTGTAATAAAGCTAACTACAAAGCCAGTGGTTTAATGTTTTACAAAAGTGTGTATATTGGTTTTCATGACATACCATACTGAGTGTACTGTTTTCAGCTTTTTCCTCTTACATACTCAATGTAGGATTTTCTTACATTATTAGCCTTCTACTCTTGTTTTCTCTCCTAATATCCCTCTTAACTTTCTGGTCTTTTAACTGTTTATGTCTCCTAGTGACTAGTATTTGGATTCCCCATAAGCAACTCCAAATCAGCATATCCACATCAGTTAGCTGCTTTTCCAAACCAGTTCTATCTTCATACTTGATTTTTTTTTTCCTGTCAATTATATTGCTATCCTCTGGTTAGTCATGGAATAATATATAGATACATGCTTGTTGTTTTAAAAAGATAAGAAAAAACATAGTATTAGTCTATATCCAAAGTAAACTCCTGTTAACTGTCTGATTTGTATCTTTCCAGGTCCAGGTTTATTTTTCTGTCCCTCATTTTACCCTCTTCCTCCTCACTTCTCTTTTGAATGTTAATAGGATCATGCTACACTTGAGTTTTTTTGTTTTTGTTTTTGTTTTTGTTTTTGTTTCTTTGTTGTTGTTTTTGTGAAACAGGGCCTAGCTATGTATTTCAGGCTGGTCTTGGACTCGTGGCAGCTCTCCTGCCTCAGCCTCCCTAGTGCTGGGATTATGGTGTGCACCACTACACCTGGCCTGCGCTTCTTGTTCTGACACATGCTCTTTGATTTTATAGTCAGCTGTTCTTGGGAATCTTCACATGTTAATATATTTAGGCCTGTAGATTCTGTGTGTGTGTGTGTGTGTGTGTGTGTGTGTGTGTGTGTGTAAAAGAATATTACCAATGAGTAGAAAAACTATTACATCTCAAATATAGTTGAGATTACAGTCATATTAGTCATAGGACTAGGAATAATGTCCAGTAATGTCTATGTATCTAATACGATTTTCACCAGCTTTAACTGAAAAAAATAGCTCAAAACTTCAGAAAAACAAAAAGATTTGTCTAGGCCTTAAGAAATAAGAAAATATTCATTTAATGGCCAAACTGTATTCCATAGTGTAGATGTCCATTATTTAGCTATTCTCATATTAATGGACAGCTCTTTTATTTATTTATTTATTTTTTGGTACGGGGGATCGAACTCGGGAACTTGTGCTTTCTAGACAGGCGACAGAACCACTGAGCTAAATCCCTGGCCCAAGGACAGCTCTTGTTTGTTTGTTTATTTGAAAGGTTGAGAATTTTTATTTTCCTAAATTTTCTTCAGATTTGGGTAAAAATATATTAAATAATAATATCTGATCTGGTGAGTGAAGAATAAGACCATTTAAAAACTTTTAAATTGGCATTGTCTATTACTGTTAAAGCCAGCTATCTTTAAGTTTTCTTACTCTTTATTTTTTTAATTAAGAGCTCTTTGTATGTTAGAGGATTATTAAACTTTTGTTATACATTTATATAGGACATATGTTTTCTATCTCACAGTTCATTGTTTGTTAACTTTATTTTATAACACTGTCATTTTTAGAAAGGCTTTACCCAGAAATATAAAAATATTCTACAGTTTTTGTACTACATGTACACATTTTTTAATTTACATGTTTAATCCATCTGGAATTTTTAACATGGAGTGTGAAGTGAAGATTTACCATCTTTAGGGTGTGTAGGTATTTATTCTCAAGCTTCTTGTCTCATGATCACATGATAGCACACTACTTTTTCGGGCTTCATGTTTACAATCAGATAAAGAAAAAGGGGGAAGCAAAGGGCTGACATGGGTGCACCAAGAAAATCTTAAAAAAAAAAAAGTTTTCTTGAAACACTGGCCCAGTAATTTATACTTAAATCTCACTAGCCAGCAACCACTCCCCAACCATACCCCTTCAATGGAAGATGCCTAAGAATTTGAAGCCTATGTCAAGTTACCATTCTTGCTGTAAATATCTAGGTAAAAAATACCATCTACAAAGAATAAGAATTTTATTTTGTCTTTTCATTTATTTTTAGTTTCTTTTGATGGTTCTTACTGCATTCACTAGGAGTTTTAGGATATTGCCATATGTAGCAGTTGAAAGTAGAGAGAAGAAATATTTCACTTTTAAGTGTGTTGTGGGCTCCAGGTAAATACATAAAATCAAATTAAGGATATTTTCTCCCATTTCTCTTATGCTTAGAATTTTGATTGTATGAACTTGTCAGTCTTTTTTTAGTATCTATCAAGTGATCAAAAGGTTTTTCTTTTTCAATATGTTCATGTGGTGAGTTCTGATAGCTTTTTAAAGTTGAACCAGTGTTTCATTTCTAGAATGGAAAAATTTAATGTGTGAATGTTTTAATTGGGTGTGTTTATATTGTTAAGTTGTATAGCTAGTTTTCTGATTTTTCTGCTTTTGAGGTTATATTAAGAGAACTAAATGGGTTGCTGTTCATCTTTTTAATAATCTTCTATTTGAAATAATGTAAAAGTAGTCCACATAATCTAGGCTTGATGCTATTGTTAGGATTAGATCTTTAAGTGCCTCCCTTCCCCTGCCTCTTACTGAGGATTGGGTCCATCATGGTGCCTCATTTTTACTTTTTGTAGATTTATTCTTTTGTGCCGGATTCTGGAAGGATCACTTAGGAGAGAATAATTCTGTCTTCAGTAACATTTTTATCCCATTTATTAAGTTTTAAGTTTTTGTAGTCTTTGTTTCCTCTTTATGGTAACCTGTTTTGTTTTTTTTTGAGATCCATCAGCTTTCAAAATATTTTTAATGTCAGCTCTACTTAATAAAAGATATCTTTCCTATATTAAAACTACTTTCATACAAGTGAATTCTTTTGGACTAGTTTCAAGTATTAGTTTTTATTTCAAGTGTTGACTCTGATGTAGAATTGTAAATGTCTCTTAAATTGACTGGTTTTGATAAATGCAGTCTTATTTTTGTAGCCCAAGAGAGAATCCCAACCTTGCTGATAGGATAGAGATAGATAGATAGATAGATAGGAAGAAAGAAAAAGAAAAGCAAGCAGGCTAGCTAGCTCTGATTTATAAGCACCCTACTGAAAGTTGGAGGCTAAGACCCCTGGCCGGAGAGCTTTATTTTTTGGTACCGGGGATCGAACTCAGGACCTTGTGCTTGCAAGGCAGGCAGCAGAACCACTGAGCTAAATCCCCAATGCCGCGGAGAGCTTTTTATATAATTTGTCCTCTAGGTGTGAGGGTGCCTTCTCTCTTGATGTTAAGTTACTTGGGAGCACTATTCTGATTTCCATGTCTTGGTATTAATGTACTCTTTTGTGTCAAACTTCTAGAGCTCTGTCTTCATGATTTTAGCTTAAGGGTAAGTGTTGGCTATCCTTGCTTTAACCATTCAATAATTTCTGGGCCTTTTTGCTTCTGATACTGGGATTAATATGAGAATCTTCTGGGAAAACTCGCCTTTTTTTTAAGGCCCCTTTTTGTTGTTGTTTTTGTTTTTTTCTTTACCATTAATCTGAGCCTGCCTTGCCAGGCTGGCATGGCACCACTGAGCCACATCCCCGGGATTTTGTTTATTTTGAAACAGTCTTTTCCTAAGATGCCCAAGTTGGGCTCATATTTGAGATCCTCTGCCTTAGCTTCCCAGAATGCTGGAATTGCAGTTCTGCGTCACCACATCTGGCTAGCTTCCCATTATTTATCTATAAAATATGTTACCTAGTAATCTTTAAATCCTGATTTCTTAGACTTGTACCATTTATTATAGCCAGTGTTTTTTTTTTCCGTACCGGAGATCAAACTCGGGTCCTTGTGCTTGCGCAGCAGGCGATGAAACCACTGAGCTAAATCCCCGGCCCTATAGCCAGTGTTTTTTTCTTTATTCCACTAATTCTGTGAGGGAATAGTTTTATGTTCAACTCAGTTATCCTTTTATGATCTCCGCCCAAAGTAACCTTTCTCACCTTAGAATTTCCTTTTCTTTTTTTTTTTTAATTTTTTTTTTTTTGTCTCTAATGCCCTTGTCTCTCAGTTGTAGAAAACAATAGATAGTCAAGTAACCTTATATACTGTAGATAGCCCAAAATTATTTACTCAGTGAGGAAAAGTATGTTTTAGATTTTTAAACCACCAGATTAACAAATTTTGTTGTTTTGGGTTTTTTTGTTTTTTGGTTTTTTTGGTACTGGGAATGGAACTCAGGACCTTGCACTTTCGAGGCAGGCACCAGAACCACTGAGCTAAATTCCCAGCCAGATTAACAGATTTTGTTAATCACTGGTAGAGGTTAACTGTTGCTGTGAATTGATTTCTTACATGTGCTCCTCCTTGTGAAGCACATACTTAACTAGCGATAACATCCTAAGCATTGATAAGAGTTTTATGAGGGCTTAGACCAAATTTGAGTTTCTGCCTTATAAATTAAATAAGGATAGATAGATTTTAGTGGTGATCATTTCAAACAAATAGTCGCTGCTTCAATGGATAAATTACACCATAATTATTTGTGAAACAGTATAACTAAAGAAAAATTGACCATAAATGTGCTTATGTTGTAAAAATGATACTAATATTGTTATACTTTTGTTCAAATTTATTTTATTTTGTTTGTCTTGTTTTTTGGTACTGGGGATCAAACTTGGGATCTTGCGCTTGCATGGCAGGCCCTGGAACTGCTGAGCTAAATCCCTAGCCCTCAAATTTGTTTTACAATAAGTGACTCAATAAAATGGTATTTGAAATTAGAAGACTGAGTAACTGGATAGAATTCTTTCTAGTCCTCAGAGAGAATAAGTAAATGTACTCCCTAGTATGTGTATTTTGTCCATGAGCATTACATAAAACTATCAGTTAATTAGTTACATGGATCTGGCACAATATGAGTTGCAGTCATCACTACCTAGTAACAAATTATCTCTCCACAGTAGCATTAACCCTGAATGACATTAGGACTTAGAATTAGAAATCCTAATTTCTTCATAAATGTTGACATTATTTAAAAAGCCTGACGTAACTATTAATATAATGATATTATATGCCTTCTTTTTCGCATTGTTTTTAAGTGAATGAAAAGAATGCTCTTCAGGAAGGAAATAAAAAGCTTTCTGAACAACTGCAGAAGATACTTGAGTAAGTATTTTTCCTAAATTAGAAAATATTTTCCTACAACTTTATTTATTTTACTTAGCTATGCAAGATACTGTGAAAATACCTTAAGAATTACAGATTTCATTTTTAAAAATTATAAAGTTCTCTACAATAAAAAAAACACAAAGAATGCTAGGCATAGTAGCACATGCCTATAATGTCAGCTACTTGGGAGGGTAAGGCAGGAGGATCACAAGGTCCAGACCAGTGTGAGCATCTTAGCAAGATACTGTCTCAAAATTACAAAATAAAAAAGGCTGAGAATATAGCCCAGTGGCAGAGCATCCCTGGCTTTGAGCCCCAGTACTACAAAAGTAAATAGGTAGGTAGATAGATTTTTTTTTTTTAAAAGGAAGGAAGAGAAAGAAAATCACTGTATTTTTGTGTTTTAGGGTATACATGAAGAATATGTGTGCATCTCATAGGTTAGTGTTTGAGTATACAGAGAAAATAATGTCTTCATTAAAGTGTTTTAATTTTTATGATGATTTATTATAAATACTATAGAAATTATAATCACTTAGATTTCAAATAAATATTTGAGTTTTGTTATTTTTTCCAGTCTTGTCTCCGAAGCTTCATAAAGCAAATTGAATGAGTTATATAGGCCTACAGAACTTCCTCCTTCCTCTGTTCTCATCTCCAGTACCACATTTTTCTTTAAGAATAAAAATAACTTTTATCCTGAGTGCCAGTTGCTCATATTATTTCTCACCCTCACTGTAATTCTGCAGAGTATTTTTATTATTCTTAATTTACAAAGGGGTGATCAAAGGTCATAGTTAAGTAACTTGCCTGTGATTCCACAACTAGACCATCACTCAAATCCTGTCTTCTGACTTAAAAGCCCCTGTTCTTTCTATTTTGCAGTATTGTCTCAAAAGGAAAAGAATACTCTTCTGCAATAGTCTGATTAAGGGTAGAGATAGGGCTAGCTTCTCATTTATATAAAGATTATGCAGTTTTAAAATTGTATTTCATATATTTTTTGAAGTGGGATCTTACTATTTTGCCTAGGCTAACCTCAAACTCCCTGTCTCAAATGATTCTCCTCCTCAACTTCTCAAGTAGCTGGCTATAGGTGTGCTGTGGTGCAGTGGTGGCGTGTACCTGTGTGTGTGTGTATGTGTGTGTAGCGCGCGCGTGCACACGAAAGAGAGAGAGAGAGAGATTGGGAGCCCTAAAGTACATCCCTTGCCCTTTCCTCACCTTTTAAATTGCCCAGGCTGACCTTGAACTTGGTATCCTACTGCCTCAGCTTCCAGAATAGCTGAGATTGCAGAAGTGTGACACCATCCCTGGCTTATAGTATTTTTTTTTTAATTTAACATTCTGGATAGTCCTGATAGTGTTACAGGTTCTTGAAAATACTGTTGCATTTGTGTAGACATCAACAAAATCTTTGGTAACCTATGCAGATATAGCATATTATTTTGGCCTAAAATAGTTATCATCTGTATAAACATGTTTTACTGGTGGAATTAACATTCTTCACTTCTAGCAATATACTTTTAGTTAATAGATGTTACAGTGGAATTCTGATATTTCTCCCATTTGGTCAGGCCACTGAATACTGATAGCCAAACGGAATTCTGAAGAGAGATAATAGATGAGCAAAGGAGATTATGAAATCAGACTGGGGCTGTGTGAAAATGTCAGCACTCTAAACTCAGGCTCTATAATGGAAAGAGGCTAGAACACAGGCTCATCGTCTTTTACATATGATTTTAGAACCCAAAAGGTTTTGTTTTTTTTAATGTTATTCAGAACTTAAACTTGTCTCAACTGCCAGGATGTTATTTATAGTCTTTATCTCACTTCATATGAATATTTGTATGTTTTAATATGAAAATGTTTGACTATAGGATGATGCCTTACACATCATTGGAAATGTTATGTAATAACCTTTATGTGCTTTGTACTGCTTTTCACTTTTTAAAAAAAATCTAAATTCTGATTTGAATTATACCTAGGACCAAGATTTCTATCAATGACTGTTGACCTATATTAGTTTATGTTATATGAAGTGATTTAGCACATGAAACTTACGGAATTTGAATATATCAGCCTTGATATTTATGAATACCAAAGACAGATAATATGTTAAGTGTAGAGATTAATAAAGAATTAAGTAGATGATTGCTTCGGGACCCAAGATAAAGTATTTTGAAACTAGATAGTCTCTTGGAAAAAATTGAATTCTATCTAGTTTAAAATTTCTTTTTAGGGTTCTCAGATTTTTCCTATTGAAACTCATTGATTTTTTCAGGAAAAAAGTAAAAATTCAAGTAAAGGTTAATCACATAGACAAACTCAGAGCATGTATGTTTTCTTTAGGGCATGCTTAGTCAGAACAGTGTAGGAAATAATCCATTGTATCTTTCAGGTCTTTCCTGAAATTTAAGATAGTTGTGATTCTCCGGAGCCAACTTCTTTTGTGACTTGGCTCTCTTCAAAAAAATTTTCTTTTTGTTGGCAGGTTTTTTTTAAAATAGCAAGCATCAGCTTGTAAAAGCAACCTCATTTCCTCTGACTACCTAAACCACCATAATGTTATGTGATTAGTGCCTGAAATTCCCCTTAACTTTAGAAAAAATGCTGACTTATCCTCCTGCTTGTTAAGTGCAGTAATTCTAACTCAAGGGGGCTGGCTTCTGTGTTACAGATGCCTTGTAGGGTAGGATAACTATTTAGTGACACTACAGTAAATTACTCAGTTTTTCAAAATTGCCATTATCAGGTTAAAAATTAAAGTGAAAAGAGAGTCAGTTCTAGCAGTCAAAGCAAATAATTAAACTGAGTATTGAGGTTGTGACTGTACTGGGAAACAGATGTGATGTCTCAGTGAAGATCACAAGAGTCACAGAAGATTGCAGAGAACTACACGTATAGGATGCTGAGGGAAATATCAGGTGCCTTCCCAAGAGCCAGTATATGGTAAAGCATCCCACAGAACAATGGACCTTATAGCCATGCTTTTAAAAATCAGTCTTACTTGAATTATTTATATAATAAATTTACATTGGTTCTAAGAGATTAGGGTATCAGACTCACTGGTTTGTACTTTAGGGAATATTCATCATTTTTTTTTTAAATTAGAACATTTCAGTGAACTTGATGGTTATAATATTGCTTCATTAAGTTTAAATTATATTTCAACTAGAAATATAAATTCTTCAGGTAGAGAACTGAATGTTAAAATACTTTTTTGCTGACTCCTTAGACTAGAAACCCTGTATCCTTATAGGTTTGGGAGGAATAGACAACTAAAACACTTTTGACAGGAATTTAAGAGAAGGCTTACAAATAAAACTACCAAAAAATTTTATTCTCAGGCTATATCAGCCTGAAAAGTGAACAAAGGATAAAAAATGTGCATAATTAATATAACCAAAAGTTAGGACATGAGCTCTTAACTTTTCTCAGAAAATCAGGGTGAGTTGTAATGTTTTAAGGAATAAACTTAGTTAAGAAAAGTTGTTTTTGCTTCTGTTTTCTTTTATGACAGAGGATGACAAAGCCTTCACCTGTTTACATACTATAGTTTGGGCACTTCTAGTTAGAGCTAGTTTTAGTTTTATATTTTGGAGATTTGTTTCCCCTTTTGTGATCCCAGCTTCCTCTAGATTGACACTGCCAGGAAATCTTTTTTCTCATGACTCATTTATGTTTCAGGTTGAATTTTTTATGACTACTAGGAAAGCAGGCTGTGATATGGTTAGTTAAAGCAAGGTCAGATAGATTTCACACTCCATTAATTCGTAAGGCTTTCTCATATGACTTCAGCATACTGTTTTTCCAGAATAAGGGTAGAATTGCAGGAAGAGATTAAAAATTAGATATTAACTCTATTGCACAGAATGGTAACTTTAATAGATAATACCTTGTATATTTCAAAATTACTAGAAAAGATTTTAAATGTTTTTACCCTATAAGTTTATGAAGTGATAAATTAATTTGCTTGATATAATCATCCCACACTATAAACATACATCAGAACATTACTTCAAATCTCTTAAATATATACAGATATTATTTGTTCATTTAAAATAATTTGGGCCAAGCAGTGCTAGGAATCAAACCTGTGGCCTCACACATGCTATGTAAGTGCTCTACCACTAATTTACGCCCCCCAGACATAAAATAAAATTTTAAAAAATAAGAAAATAACTCTAAAGATTATTCTAAGGAATAATATAGGATTCTACAAGAAGTAATATTGATATTATCAGGAAAATTATCAGGAATTTTGATTATCAGTAATACTGATATTATCAGGAAATTAGAGTACATATCTGTATTAGGAAATGTTAATCTTTGTCCTCTAGTGATTTTTTAAAATTTTTGTTGGTATAGTTTATGAAATTCTCATTATGTAGTTCTTTGAAATAATATTACATACTGGTTAGGACAGATTAATTTGGTCATGTAAAGAATAAAGGTGGACAGACTGATAAGAATTGGTTTGACCAATAAGGTCACTAATGGCTTGACATTGGAAAGTCAATTAATTTAATTTTACTCAGTAATTAAAGTTAGTCCAAACCCAGTCTTTAGGTGCCATGGGTTCTGAATTGATTTGGGTAAAAATATATGTCTATGTATTTCTTTAGTGGGATCTGAGAATATCTCATTGATTCATTCACCAAATTGTTATGCAGTGCCTACTATACACCTGTTGTGATTCATCAGCAAAATGAAGGTCCTCACCTTAGAGCTTATATTCTAACAGGAGAGCAGTGGACATAATAAATTGCATACTTGTCTGGAAAGCATTTTCTAGGGTAAAATAAATACAGCAGAATGACAAGGATTAGGAAACTGTGGTGTGGGATGGGGATTGCAGTTTTAAACAATAAAATTCCAGCAGAGTTGAGGATATAAGGTAATTAGCCATGTGGATACCTGGGGAAGAGGAGATGGAACAACTGGAGCAAAGAACCTACAGTAGGAGGATGCAGAAGAGAGTATGACAGGAGTAG